ACGGCACAGCTCAGAATCCAGAAGCTTCCCTGCTCCTGTGGTTTTTACATCCAATTGTCTCCCGACTGATCTAATCAAGTGCTCCCTCACCTTTGAGTAAGAAGATTTTTCTATAAGAAAACTGGACTCTTCAGCCTGCATTACACTTCATTCCTCTTGTTCAAACCTGAATCATTTTGATTCTTTCCAAGTTGAAAGACTTCGACAATCGACACTCATCTCTTACCGTATACATAATCAAAAATGCTCCAAGTCTTTCTTAAGATCTCTATTCTACTCTTTTCCATGTTGATTCATAAAGTCTTAGGCGCTACCAACGCTCCTCCTCCCACTGTTCATTCGTGTAACATCAAGTTTACAATACTCGGAGATAGAGCAGGTATGTGAGATCATTAAAAACCATCATGCCTTTAGCCCTTCAGCATCATTCGCGCTCACGGCTAATCCAGACCACTTTTACGATCGCTCACCTTGAAAGAATGCACCGGAGGCGGTGTCGTGCATAACTGTGCTTATAAATCTTGCTGGCTTGCTGGTAAGTATCTCAAAAACTAATGTTAATGACCTTGAGTATTTCAAATCATTCAGTCAAGCTGATGATAAACTGGATTTTTTGATTTATACAAATTCTTTTATCTTAGGTCATCAATACATTTCAATGACGGAATGTAAGCTAGCAAAATCGACTGACAAAAGAACAAGTCATCAACAATGTGCTCAATATGAGTTTGTAAACAATGATCTAACTAAACCTCTCTATTTCAGTCAGTATTTTCAATCTCTTTAATTGATTTATCATTGATGGTATGTATATCGAAAAACTCTCTGATTCCAATAAATGTTTTGTTTCTTTTCGAAAAACTTTGAATCCCCCAAAACAAACCTTCAGAGTGTAGGAATCCTGGTCTTGTAGATTATATATGCTCAGATAATGCCAATAATATTGGTAAAATCTTGGGTCAGTTTGACTTTGTTTTCATTCAATTTCAGAAACAATCAATTAATTGAGACGACTTGGTTTTTTTCCAGGATGTTCCGATTGCTATTTGTGAAGAATGCCTTCAAAAGAACAACTCCAGTCTTTGATCATCTCATATCATTCCATAAAGAACAAATAAAGTCCCTTTGAAAGTGGTTTTGTATATTATATACTTATCTATCGAGATGTTTTCTATCTCAAGCTTTTAGAACGAGCTGAGCTCTCAAATAAATGTAGCTTAAAATGACTCTCACCTCTGTAAACTTACTGGGAAATAATTTGATCTGGATCGAATCAAAAACTCTTTTTGTTTTGCTTCAAACTATCACAACCCTGAATGAGAAAAAAAGTTGATTGAAATATGAACTTAAAATGTTTGTGATGGAAGGTTTGGACAAGGCACGCAGTTGGGACCTATGTCTACGGGGTGGAGTGTGAGCACGCGGAGGATAGCGTAAGTACATAACGACTTAACAGTTATGTACTCGAACCAGATGGAGCTTGAATTTTCCGTGTACAGGAAAATCTCACGCTTCCAAGTTCTGAATACGCTACTCCTCCGCAAGCTCAAAACTCTAAACTTTGATCATCAATCAAAATTTCAACAATCAATTTCAGCAAATAAGATTTGAGCATAGTTTTCGACGTAGTAGCGGAAAGAACTAGATACAGCATAAGATGGCAAGTAACGGAAACGAAGATCTTTTTCCTGAAGATAACGACCCAAGAAGAAAGCTTCGAGCCTTCAGCAGGGCTCCATCAGTCCCGGCACAACATCAGCAACCACAGCCGAAGAAGAAAATAATGGGAAGAAACAGAATGAAGCCGAACAACTTCCGAACCCAAAACCGGTGAAGATTGTGGTAAACGGATACGGACAAGCTGGAACTCAAAGACAAAGAGAAGAAAACAGTCAGATGGAAGAAGATCAAGAGCAAGGTCAAAGACAACAACAAAGGAATGCGAACAACTCACAAGATTCGCAAAACAACAACCTCCCGGCGTCACAAAGCACTCCAGCCGAAACAAATTCGCAAAACCCAGCGTCGGCTAGAAGCGAACGAGACCCGCCGAATCCTTCCGTTCTACAAACGATTGAGGAAGAACCACGGCGAGAGGAGCAGGCACCACGAAGTGACAGCACCCTAGAGTATGTAGAGAACGATCATGAGAGAGAAGAATCAAGTGAGGAGGAAGAGAGCTGGGTGCAAATCAAGAGAGTGAAGAAAGAACCTGGGGATGATCAAGAAAGTAGGAGAAGAGTACTTACAGGTCTTATTTCAAGCCCTTCTTTAGATAAAGGTGAGGAACCTAGTCCAAATTCCTTCCTCCTTCAGTCCTAGTTCCATCACATCCCACTATTCCTTCCCCCTTCCCCATCTGTGTCTCCTTCACCCTCCATCTACGGAGTGATCTACGCTTTCTTGTCCTTCTGTAACCAGCTAGACATCAGAAGTTGTCCCGAGGAAACGAAACAACCCGTAACCGCGTTGATGACCTGACAAACAATGATGAGAGAATCTGATGAAACTCGAGACACCTTGGTAGAAGCCAGCAATCAGGCTACAATACGTCTAATGGTTCTGAGCACCGTGACAAAAGGTAACACACCTATAAAGGTGATAACAAATAGTGTGTATGATAATACGCCAATCTTCCTCAGTGAACTGGTAGTATTTATTACATCAATGACAACAAAAACTAACCTTGGTAGAAGCCAGCAATCAGGCTACAATACGTCTAATGGTTCTGAGCACCGTGACAAAAGGTAACACACCTATAAAGGTGATAACAAATAGTGCGTATGATAATCTAAACAACATGATAGAGTGAGTTATCTGCACTACATTTAACAAAGATGTGATGTAATAAAATGGGAAAGAGCTTACACGCCAATCTTCCTCAGTGAACTGGTGAGGAAGAGAGGCGTGTGCGGAGTGTGTGATCTAATCTAGATGTGATATAGTGATGAGATTTAGTTAGGTTAGAAATCTTGATGAATTAGGTCTGAGTTTGAAGAATTAAGTTTTGTATTCAATTATAATTGAGTTTGATTTAATGTAGTTTGAGTTGAAGATAAGATAATTTGATATGATGTAGTTTGAGTTGGAAATAACATAGTTTGATGTGTTTGAAACTATACTTTGTATTCCAACAAATGAAGCCCAACAAGGCAGTGTCAGAGGCCCCATAACGGCTAGTCAAATATAAATGACAAGTGAAATATCACTAACCTCACCTCATACCGGTGGGAAGACCCTACGAGAAGCCCCCATAACGGGCTTGGGGTACGGGAAGCTGTCCAGTCCATTCCTTCTTAACGAGATTAGCGGAAGCACCAGACAATAAACACGAAGAGGAACTTACATGTTTCCTTCCACCCCGTTTAAATCCATTCAGGGAAGCAACATGGGCAACGTGAACCGACGCCAGGCCCTTCGGGCCCCTCGCAAGCCCAGGCAGCAGCCTTACTCGAAATCCGATTGGCTCTTGACGAGAACAATTTCGAGAAACACGCCGAACTGATGACGGCCTACTTGTTACGGTACAATCCAGAAAAAATGCAAGTCCTGGCGGTAGAAAGAAGAAATCAACCCCCTCTCCAGCCACGGGCTAACGAACAAACCGGAACGAGCAAACATAATGCGACCGAGCAACCGAGACCAGAGGCTAGAGTCGGAAACGTGATTGCGGATGTAAATCCAAAAAGACCGAATCCAGCGAAAACGGCGGCAAAGAACATCCCACAAGGTCGGCCAATGTCTGATGATGACGAAAGCGAGATCGAGCCAAGACGCACCGGAGGCGATTTCGTGGAGAACGGAATTGAATTTGCGGATGGAAAGGTACCGAGCCACCACATGACGCAGCTAACAGTTTTCTGGGACAATTGAATTCGAAAAATCAAAGGCTATGTCCCTGTCTCCATGTTCAATAAAGCATGGTTAGAAGCCAACCACAACATCGAAGGAAGGAAAGCGTCGAAGAAGAAAAGCAAAAACGACGACGAAGACTCTGATGACAAGAAGTATGAAGGTTTAACTTACCCGGTGGAGCTGAGATTGACGTACGGAGACTGGGTGACTTGCTTCAACTTGTTCCTGGATTACTTGAAGGATTGGTTTCACTTCAAGAAATTAGTTCTGAAATTCGAAGGCCATAAGAGGAATGTCGAGAAGGTCAAAGCTGAAAATGATGACAACTGGATGGTAGCACTACGTTACGATATCATGATACGACGTCAATTTTGGACGACGAGAGTAGAAGGCGGGAAGGTCTCAGACCCGTCAGTGAGACAAAAGAAAATAGAGGAACAGGCTAGACGTACAGTTGATAAGTTTAGGGAATGGGACTGTCACGACAATCCTTACGCCAAAGGAGGGAAACGACAAGATCAGGACCCTCAATTATCAAAAATTGTGACAAAAGAGAAGAATGAAGCATACGAGAAATCAGAGAAGAAAGAAGAGTCAGCTAAATCAGAAAAAGACGATAACTCCGGTTCGAGAAACGCAAGTAGAGGAGGTTTCCAAGGAAGAAGAGGTAGAGGCCGAGGAAGAGGCCAAGGAAGAAACAACTTTCATCACCGTGATTACGATCGATACGACAAAGACGACGACCGTGAATCGAGCTACCGCCACAGAGGTGGAGGTGACCAATGGTCCCCAGGGCGGGACAGTAGGTCCAAGTCGCCGACAAGACGAACACGCTCCCCGCGAAGATATGACCGTGATGACCGAAGAGACCGGTATGACCAAGAGGAGAAGAGAGATGACTACAGATATTCAGGTAGATCAAATCATAATCATAAGTCTAACGCGAAAGACGGTTCGAAGAAGAAGTGAGTCTTATCAGATAGAGACAAGAACCGGTGGATTTGCAATAGAAGCCTTAAGGCAACAAGTAGTGCAGACGCTGCGGCACCCACGCCCATGTGCCCTCACTACACGTCGTACATGCACCACACCCCTGTCCCACGTCCCCTTGACCGCCCCCTTGACCCAAATGTAAGAGTGAGTAACTTACGGGAACAATTACCTTACCTACCCTTTGCCTAGCAGAAGCCCATCCCTATACGACAGCTCGTATTCTGAAAGATTGACGTCCAAAGACGAAGAGTTCTCAGACAAAAACAGCGACTACTGTAGTCTGAGATGGTCCGATGAGAGCTCGTCGGAAGGATCAGTGAATGATAGCGGGAGTGAGGCAGAGAGAAAAGAAACAGCTGAAGAAGAAGAAAGACTAAAAAGCTTACATGTTAGAAAGATCCATCGCCCAGAAGACGGTAGACCGTGGCCTTGCAGAGTACGTTGCGAGATGGATGTAAGAGAGTGGCAAAGACGGCTAGAGTCAACAAACCTCTTAGAGAAGTACGAGGACGTCATCGACGGGTTCAAGTACGGTTTTCCCCAAGGGATACCAGAACACAGGATTGGGAAGCTACCATGGTATACCCCGGATAATCACAAGTCAGCAACAGAAGTTCAAGAGAAGATAAAGAGAACGTTAGAAAAAGAAAAAAGAGAAGGTAGAATTTACGGACCTTTCTCACACTCGCAAGTAAAAGAATGGTTCCTGTTTTTCAGGTCGAGTCCGATGGGAAGTACGATAAATGGTGATGGGACGTTTAGAGTGATCCACGACCTATCGTACCCAAGAAGAAAGAAAGGCACACCATCAGTAAATTCCTTTGTGAAAAAGAAACACTTCAAGACAACGTGGGACGACTTTGAGAGGGTAGTGAACTTCTTCAAAGACAACCCGGGTGTATGGCTCCTCGCCATTTTCGATTGGGAGAAGGCTTACCGTCAAATCCCAACAGACCCGGATCAGTGGCCGTACTTGATACTGAAGGATTTCAATAGGGGGTTATGGATCGACACCAGAGTGGCATTTGGAGGCGTGGCTGGATGCGGGATCTTCGGGAGACCTGCCGACGCGTGGAAAGAGTTGATCCAAGCCCAACTGGGGATACCAAAGGTGTTCCGATGGGTGGATGACAACATGCTGTTGAAAAGACCTGATTCGAACGTGACGATGAAAGATGTAGTCAAAATTAGTAACAGGCTCGGGGTAAAGACGAATGAAACAAAATACCACGAGTTTGGGTACAAGCAAAAGTATGTGGGATTCATCTGGAATGGCAAGTCACACACAGTCAGATTACCTCAAATTAAGTTAGACCAACGAGTGGATGAGGTGAAGCAAGTACTTACGACGAAAGATAAGATATCTTACAAAGCGTTCAAAGGCCTGGTAGGAAGGCTGTGCCATACGATCCTGATTCTTCCACATATGAAAGCTTATATGAGATCAATGCACTATTATAAGAAGGTATGGGGGAACCAATGGATTAAACGAGACCTTTCAGACGATGTCAGAGAAGACTTGAAACACTGGGACTATACCTTGAACAATTTTGAAAACCTGCGAATTTTACCTGAGAAAGAACTGGTAGAAGTCAAGTGGTATGGAGATGCCTCTACGTCATTTGGTTTGGGCGTAAAGGTTGGATCATCCTGGGCCATGTTTAGGCTACGGACGGGATGGCAAACCAAGTACCTGAAACATGATGAACAGCAAAGGAAAATTGCCTGGGCTGAAACCGTCATAATAAGACTGGGACTCCTGATGTTGCGAAAAAAGTATGAAACAGGTGGGAAGAGGTTTATCGTCCATACGGACAATACGACCACCGAAGGAGTAGTCAGGAACCGGAAATCGAAGGACAAAACAGTGAATGACAAGTGGAAGATCATTCAACACTTACTTACAGATTATCAGTGCGACATAAAAGAGGAAAGAGTGACATCGGAAGCGAATCCTGCAGACGCACTGTCGAGAGGGGATAACTCCGAAGAGAATCTTGACGAGCAAATCCGGGTTCCGATCCCCAACGACTTGAGAGGCCTCATTATACAAGAATTCAACCGGCATGAACCCGTCAATTTCAAAAACCAAACATCCGAAACCCAAAAATCCTCCGAATCTAGACGAACTTAAGACAGGACCAGATGGTGTGAGGAAAGTGTCAGAGGATCAGTTGGTAGAACATATTACAGGAGGAAGTTGGGTAGAGGAAACGATGAAGCTATACAATTCAGGTATCAAGAAATACGTAAAATTCAATGAACAAAAAGGAAGACAGCGAAGTCAATGCTTACCGGCGTCGAAAGAGCAAATCTACGAGTTTATACTATGGGCGAGCGAAAGGAAAAACCCAGAGGAAACGTCGAACGAAGCAGTGAAAGCTGATACTGTACGGAAGTACCTAGTGGGAATAAGGACGTGGCACAAATTACATCAGTGTCAGTTTCCGGACGTGGACGAAGACTTCACAAGGCTAATCTTAAGAGCATCCAAGAGGTATGAGAAGGAGAAGAAACAAATGAAGTCAGCACGGCCAAGTACAATCGAGACAAAGAAAAGTGGGGAAAAAGAACCAGTCTTGATATCTCACCTAAACCAAGTAGTCAGTGAATTAGAAAACAAAGGAAATAAAGCAACAGCAGTGGTAGCAGTAGCATTGACAGCGTTCTGGGGCCTAGCAAGATTAGGAGAGCTAGTGTCGGACAAACCAGAGAAGAGGATCCCAAATTTAAATGATCTAGCATTGATAAAGGAGACGGGTAACTTAGAGTTAGCGATTCATGAGGCAAAAACAGCAAAACCGAATGAGACTCAGTACCTGATTTTACGGAGACAACCAACTTCACTAGATCCAGTACGCGCCTTAGAACGAACGGTAAAACTGAACAGAGTGAAAAAGACCAACCCGTTATTCTCGTATATGAGAGACGGAGAACGATGGCTACTTTCAAAATCCGAGGTGATGAAATGCTTCAGTGAGATCTGGAAGAAAAGCGGGTCCGATGGTCCAACAGGGCATTCGTTCCGCGTAGGAGGAGCGTCAATCTTGCATTTCCATGGTTCCTCAATCGAAGCAATAAAGAAGCAAGGCCGTTGGGTCGGGTCCTCATACAAGAGGTACATCAAAGAGTACTCAGAAAAAGAAAAAGCTGACACGGTGAATACACTAGAAAAGTTGAAAGGCGTAATGAAATAGAATTTTTGATGAGTGAACACGCTGAAATCCCGGCTAATCTCCAAGAGATTTGCATTGGAAGCATGTGACGTAAACAATTAACGGAGTTTATAGTTCATAGATGCGTTAAGGTTTGTACTGAATAGAAGCAAGTACATTGAAATCTGAATGACAAGAAATGGGGGCACCGAATTCAGAGGGAGGGGTGCTGGTCAGAGCTCTGAACACGATGCCCAGAGAGAGGGGTCTGACAGCTCCTATCCTCTGCATCCGGTAGGAATCCCCCCCTCAGGCCTCTCATCCTTTTACTGGATTACTCAAGGCAAACAATGACCCTTGAGAGTCTAGTTGAAGACCCGAGAGAGGCCCCGAGGGGCCCCCCCAAACCACTTGTCTCCCCTCCTAGACTAAACCAATAGCCTAGAAGGGACGGCAAGTAATGGGATTCTAGTAGAGGTCCGACACTGCAGTCCCAACCTTACAGAGAGCATATTGCTCAAGCTATGCTCACACTCCAATAGAGGAGTAGATGGAAGGTTCGGACAAGGCACGCAGTTGGGACCTATGTCTACGGGGTGGAGTGTGAGCACACGGAGGATAGCGTAAGTACATAACGACTTAACAGTTATGTACTCGAACCAGATGGAGCTTGAATTTTCCGTGTACAGGAAAATCTCACGCTTCCAAGTTCTGAATACGCTACTCCTCCGCAAGCTCAAAACTCTAAACTTTGATCATCAATCAAAATTTCAACACCCACCCACCAACCCGGGGTCTGACAGCTCCTATCCTCTGCATCCGGTAGGAATCCCCCCCTCAGGCCTCTCATCCTTTTACTGGATTACTCAAGGCAAACGATGACCCTTGAGAGTCTAGTTGAAGACCCGAGAGAGGCCCCGAGGGGCCCCCCCAAACCACTCGTCTCCCCTCCTAGACTAAACCGATAGCCTAGAAGGGACGGCAAGTGATGGGATTCTAGTAGAGGTCCGACACTGCAGTCCCAACCTTACAGAGAGCATATTGCTCAAGCTATGCTCACACTCCAATAGAGGAGTAGAAAGATGATCAATCATACACAAAGAACAATACTAATCTTTACGAGCCAAAGTGATCATTTCCTGATGTTTAAGACCATATCATGGTATATTTAAAGCGTCTTCAAATATCTATACCAGTCTTGACTCTATAGTGAAAGTATCTGACAACAGATTTTAAGAAAATATTAAACCTTATCACTCAACTGGTATGATTCTCTATTTCAGATCTTTTTCTTTGCCAACAGTCAAATTAATGCTGGCCATATGTAGATCCCATGAAGCTAAAGTGGAATGACAAAGCGGATTTAAGTGATGTTTAGAATGCATGAATTCAGTGACGTCAAGAGACGAAAGAGATGAACTCTGATGAACTGCGAAGAGTAAGACTAGATATTTGAGTTGATGATCATGCATCACATCAAGCTGAGGTTGAAGCACAAGATATTCCTGGTGGAGAGCAGGAGATGCAAGACCGAGTCATGGTGAAGATAATGAATCCATTATCCCGGCAATTGATTTTAACCTCTACCTGACCAGAGTAAGATGATATACGGTGTACGTATAGACTCATAATGACATATAAACATGACATGGATAAAACATGTAATTTTTCCATGTCATGTTTGGTCGAAATTCATCCCCAAGCCAAATACCGTACGACACGACTCATACTGACACACATCGACATGGATTTTTGATTTACAAATCCCATGTCATAACATGAGTCATGGCGGATGGTCTGACGGCCGAGAAGTGTCATACTGACAAACAACATGACACCATATCACATCTAATAGCTTTACCCGATTCACCACCGGTACATAGGTTTCATATATGCCTTTTGTTTATATATCCACTCTTTTGCCGCACCTTTCAAATTGTATCACTAGACTTTGGTCACATATCACAAAATAACATAAGCCATCTATCATCTTCATATTACCACAACCCCTTCATAAACATATTCCGTGAAGATGTCTAGCATCTGCAAAAAATGCCACATTAACTTAGTCGAACAACAATACACCCAATTCAAAATATGTGGAGACTGCCTCAAGAAGCTTAGCGATGATGTACCACCTGCCACTACCACCGCCAATAATCCGCCAAGTGCTTCCGGAAATCATGCATTTAATAATCACATATCAGTAGTAGACAAGAAGAGGGATTCACAGGCACTTCGAAACCACTTTGCTGCAGCAAAATCACAGCAACGTCAAGGGCTCTCATCTTTGTCTTCTGCTTCAAATCAACCAAAAACAACAGCCACTCGACAATCATACACTTTCACTGCGAAGTTGGCAATGTATCACCGTGGCCGTATCAGTCAAACATTCTTTCCTCACCATGCAGCAAAAATTGAAATGACAATCACTGGAGTTGAATCTGATCAGCTTCTCTGGATCAAAACTTGCCGTCAAATCTTTGAACAGTTTTCTAATGAAATACAAGACATAAGGAACAACATTCCAACATATCCACTCTTCTTCCAATCTGATTACTTCTATATCACATCAACTACTCGTCCTCCTGTTAAAATCACCGCTGAAAAGATCAAAGAATATCTCAGTAACACGCGTAATGGACTTGAGCTTATCTTCGAGGGCGATAAACACGACAAGGATTATCCTCCAGCCAAAGAAAAGCTAAAAAAAAAGAAAGTAACTAGAAAAAACAAACACACCAAAAAACAAAACGAACCTTCAACTTCTGAAGAAGAACTTGATAGTGTTTCCAGCTCAGAGTCCTGTGTAAAAAAGCGAGCAAAGAAAACTAAATACAATGCACCAGCCTCTTCTTCAACCAAGATTTCAGATGATTCCAGCCCAGAAACTCTAGAACTACCAAGCAACATTCTTACAATACAAGACCAACACAAGAAGAAACTATCCGTCTCAACCTCGTCTCAAAATCAAAATTCTCAGGCCAATCTCATGGCTTTCTTACCTTCAAGTACTAAAACGAATACATTCACCTCAAACAACGGATCAACACACATCATTCCAAGTCTTATACACAACATACCTATCTTAAAAACCGACTACAACCACCAAACAAAATTCACCACTCAGAAAGGTTTCAACTCGCTTCTTACAGTAAACAATCATTCTCTCGGTTGTATTGATAACAATATGCTCACATTGACAAATGAGGAATCCATTGGTGGGAATTCCTAGATTTTCTATCTTTGTCTATCTTCCAAATGCTAATTACCACCTTGTTAGGCGCCTTATCCACATTCAACAATCTTGGTATCACGGAATTTGCCACACCTTTTCCAGTAATATCTCCCTCAACACCTTCTACACCGATCAAGCTTATTCATGGACAAAAGCTGGTGCTCAAAGTTGATCCAAGTACCAAGTACCCAGGTTGGACGCCTGTCAATTTTAAATATCATGTATTTACTGATCAAGAGATAGGTAGAGGATCTTGTCGAATATGTTATAATGCACTTGGTGAAATGAATGGAAATGTTTGTAAGATGGTTGCAAAGCAGCTCATAACAAATGACACTGTTGGAAAAGAACTTCTACATCCATATACCCAAACTCAGCAAGTTTATATGGCTGTATCAAAGTATTTGAAGAAATTTCAGGCAGCGTGTGCCTCTTCAAAAGATAAACCACTCATAGATATAATCGCAAAATTACAGGTATGTATCATTAAATGACTTATATATATATATCAAACAACTGACATATATATTCTTTTTAGGTTGTCAACTCATTTGTGGCATATAGTGGAAAGCATGATGATCTTGATCCAAAGAATATCTGGTTTTTTGAAGAATCACTAGTTGATCAAGGGAAATTCCAGAAATACACTTCAAATGTATATTTCAAAACACGACAAGTTGGAGATCCAATTCACCTATGCATTGCCGCCTTCACCCACTATGTTTACAAGATTACATCACATAAACGTTTGGTTGCTGATTTACAAGGATCTGGTCTATATTTGACAGACCCGTTGATCCTCGATTCAAGGTGAGATAACATTCTGTTTTTTAACCAAATCATTTAGAATAAACTCAGGAATGGTTATGTTCTATTCTTTTAGGAATGCTTGGGTTGCTGAAACAAATACAGCAGAGCAGGGGTTCACCAACTTTGAGGACCAACATCGCTGTTATCCACTCTGTTGTCAATTAGGTCTTCCATTCCTTCCAAATCAATCATCTTCCCAAGATCATGAACAGAACCACGATAATGATTACATTGCTGAACATGTCAAAAACGGTGGTCGGCTTGATTGGAGTGAAAGTATGGCATCTTTGAATAACCTTCTGGAAGACAGAGATCGGGATGAATCACCACTATAGAGTAACAATTTAGATCATTTATTGACCATTTTTCTATAACTCTTGATTTTACATTCTCTTCTTTGAGTAACTCCATTGTGCTTATGAACTAAAAAAACCTATGTTGCCTATCATTGTTGTTCCTTTTCAATCTTTGACTCAAAAAAGCACAGAAATGCAGTGTTTAAATGGAATTGTTCTAAACAGCATTTAGTCACAATGTAATTCATTTTGAAATTTGAAATTCAAAATCAAACTTTTAAAACCAACTCCCGTCAATATACCTCCTAATCAACCCTTCCCAACTACCAACTCAAACATTTCATCTTTCAATTTTCTTTATTTGGGTAAGTATTTCAACTCCTTCTATCTTTGAATTACTCACATTATTCATCTTGGAACTCTTTTGTCCTCAATCACAATTCCACCTAAAAACTATTCAAATCAAACCAAAGAAACCACTGACATTCGATTTTCCCCAAATCACAATTTCATTTGACTCTAATCAATCTAGTTCATAATCAAACTGTTTTCTTCCTCATGTATAGTAATCTTCATTGATTAGTTCATCACATTTACACTGACTATCTTTGTTTTTGAATTTTCATAGTTATCGGTTAGGAAAAGATTCAGTCAACTTGAATCAACCTGACTCAATTGTTTCCATTTGATTTAATCTAAAACAATCACTTCCAAGCGATTCAACCGAATTGAATCGTTCTCATTTGATTAAACCAAAATCGATTCGTTCTCATTCGATTAACGAAAATCGAATCGTTCTCATTCGATTAACGAATATCGAATCGTTCTCATTCGATCAACGAAAATCGAATCGTTTTCATTTGATTCCAAGGATTCTTTCCATTTGATTCAACCGAAACGAATCGTTTCCATTTGATTCATTCTTTCCATTTGATTCAACCGAAACGAATCGTTTCCATTTGATTCAACTAAATCGAATTGTTTTCATTCGATTCAACTGAAATCAATCATCTTAACATCTAGCTGTCTATTCAAATCAAATTAGATTCATATAAACTCAAAACTCTTATTCTCAATTACTTCAAATTAATCAAATTATTGGATATTTAGATCATCTATTTAAATCATGATCATCATGTGAGATCAAACTTCATTCCTTCTTCCATGATGGTCAGATACTAGTACATAAAGGCAGAAGTCTCACAGGTCAATTGGATAGAGGATGGAATCAGATCTTGCATGTTCATTCTTCACTTGTGAATGCGGAACTACTTGATCTCCATTCCTCTATCAAATTGGCTTTGGATTATGATGATCTATGGTCACTGCTGAGGTTCAACTGTACTTGTCCTCCCCAAGGCTGGGTTGGCTTCACACACCAGATTCTTGTGGGTAGGGTTCAACACAGACCTTATGCAAGCCTAATCATCATAATCCAAGTGTGGGATGGAAGCTGAAAGTGGGTTACTATCTGACTGTGAGGGATCTTGAGCTGATGATC